TTATATGTGAAGAACAGTATTCTGTTGCTGAACAGTGGGGGAGTGGTACCTCTTGAAACCTCTTCTGTACAGGGAAGGAAGGATCTTTCAAGAACAATCAAGGATTTCTTCTCTCCCCCCCCTACAAGATGCAGCAGTGTTGTGGAGGAACCATATACCATACCTCAATGTCAAGATGCAGCAGTGTTGTGGAGGAACCAAATACCGTACCTCAATGTTTGCTGCCTTGGCACAGGCAGTGTGCTGGTAAGGCTTATGTGTGAAGTAGAAAATGAGATGTAAGAGTATAATGAGATGTAAGGTAGGAGTGTTATGAGGTGAGACATATGTGCTGTATGTCAGGCTCCATCTTCAAGCCGTATTTTCATGAAAGCTGTTAAGAGAATTTAGGTAGTGCTTGGGATGAGATTCTGGATTAAAGGTTCAGTTTTATTCTGTGTCAAACTTGTTTTCATTCTTTATTCTATTTTGCCACCTTTGGTCTTCCCCATTCCTAGTATATAACATTAAAAGTGTAATTCCAATGTCTGTGTTAGCAAAGGGTGTGTCTTGTCATTCAGTTTTTTCTTGCTCTGCTGAAACAGGGGAAACTTTACCAAGAATCCACTAAGATATTGCATGTCTTCACTTTTGTACTGAAGAAACTGCATTTAGGATAGATGCTTTTTCAAAAAGCTGTTTTGATTTTTATGTTTTGTATACAATGTTTATCATCAAACTCTTTTAGAAGAAATATTTTGCAGAATGGATTTACATCTCAGATGAGCATGCGCTGGAAGGAGTTAAAGGTTTAAAATGCAGTCAGTGCAGAGTCAGCCTGGTCCTGCACCTGGAAATTATGTCGCCTTTTCTGGCCCTGAGTGCACCTGTAATGCCTTCATGGCCCCAACCAGCCTCATCTGGGGCTTCCACCCCACCCTCTGCCCACATGCCTGGGGCCTCTGTTTCAGATCTCTGCCTGAGCTGTGTGGTGGGTCATCTCTCAGCTCTGTCTCCTGCTGCTAGAGGCCCCAGCCAGGGCTCCCTGGGTGGCTTCTGGACCTGTTTCAATGCCAGCCATGCCTAGGGCTGCTGATGGATCCATTAGCAGCACCCAGCTCCACTTGACTGGCTCATCGTCTACAAGACTGTGATATGGTGGCATCAGCACATGCCTGTTTGAGCATTACAAAGGTCTCTGTCAGACTATTAGATTCCAAGATACCTGAGAGTTTTAGTGCCATGTTTTTGTTTTTCAGAGGGACCGTATTTCAGCTTCTCATTTTGAGGTTTCACTTTTGAATTGATACTCATATCAGTGATGGCTCACTTTTATGATGAATGGTTAGAGGGGCAGATAACTTCTATGTGCTTTTGCAAAGCCTTTTGTTGGATTTTTTTTGCTGTTTTCCGAGAAATGGCTGAGGGACATGAGGAGATTTTTTTGTGTCTTATATGCCTATGAAGTACGTATTTTAAACAAAAGGGATTTCTGTTTAGCAGAATGTTTAAGTTCCAAAGCTTATGCTCTTAAGAACCTTGTTTAATTCAGCACACTTGTTAGAATGACCTTAATTTCCAAAGAGAAACTGATACACAGAGTTGATGTATGGCAGTGGGGAGGGGAAGAAAGAATCCAAAATAATCAAAACATGGAACAAAAGGAAAAAATATCTAAAGTTTTTTAAGAGCTCAGTCTAATTTCGGAAAAAATAAATCCATAATAGAGCATGCAAGTTTAAAAGTTGTCATGTCTGTTTCTTTTGCACCTGAAATACTCTTCAAGGAAATATTTTGTTAAAATTAGAACAAGTTCATGGAGCCTATAGGCTTTCTATAATTTCACTTGTTTTGTTTTGTTTGAAGTGGAAGTGTGAGTTTGAGGAGGGGAGTGTTGCGTATGCCTGCACAACTGGGTTAATTTGGTTAGGGACATTGCTCATCCTTGGCAACCTTTAACCAGGAAAGAAATCCTGTAATGGAATAATCCTTCATTTGAAAGACCAAAACCCTTCTGTCTGTTCTTTTTCAGTCATCTACAAAATAACCGTGAGGAGAAATGAATGCTTCTCATGCTTTAAAGATGATACAAATGTAAAAAACTTTGTTTAGGAGCCTGTAAGCGTCCACAGCCTTTGAGGTCTTATTTAGCAGTCTTGCCAGAAAACCCAGTGAAAAGTTGGTCAGACATTCAGAATGTATATAAACAGAAGACTTAGACACCTGCATTGAATTGAGAATTAATAGTTGTTACAGGCTGGGCCAATCTGAGCCATTTTAAGTGTTCCCAGACTTGCCAACCCAAATTCATTCTTTAACTGGAAACTAATTAAAGTGTGACATTTTGTGTGAGAGAGATGTCATTGGGCATTTATGTATATTTAAGTGAAACAAAAAAGTAACCCAGTCTGTGTTACACAAAATGCATCTGTTAACCCATTTTTACATCTGCATTTTTAGAAAATAGTCCTGGCTGATTGCCCTAAGTGGAACTGAAGGAAACCTACCATTATTTTACTGCTTTTTGAAAAACGGGGGAAATATTTGCCTTATTTACCTGAGCATATGATATAACTTAGAGCAATTCATTTGCCATTCATGTTAACATTTCTGTTATACAGGAATTGGTGGGTTTGTTCCAGAACAGCATGTTTGCATAGATGCCTTCTGGGATGGCTTGTCTGGAGATGGCTGTAGTGTTCAATTGTGCTTGGACAGCAAGGCCAGTTATTTGGGTTGTTTTAACTAATATTGATTTCATCTTCAGGCTACTACTAAGTATACAGTTACTGTACAGAGCATGGTTCATGCTCTGCAAGGAAATGTGTGCAACTAACAGTAATGAAAGGTAAAAGTCTTTGTTTTAAATTGAACTGGTTAGCTAAAACTCCAACTTAAAATAATCTGCAAAGCCAGAGGCTGAACAAAATTGCTGTTCTTGATAAGACATAGTCCTCCATATCCTTCCCTCTCTGTAATTTCCTTCCATTCTTCCCACTTCTCAAATTCGTGCTGTAGTTTCAGATAGTGGGTCAGCAAGATAATTGGCAAATAGTTGGCCAGGGGTTAAAGCTGTAGCCTGGCCTGCATGTTTTAGTATGTAGGTCTGCTGTCATTCTCGATGTTGGACAAGCTGGCTAATGTTTGTTTCAATTCCTTTTCTTTGAGTAATGGGTAACACACCCCTGTCTCATCAGATTGTTGTGAGAATGTATTTGTGTGTCTTTAATGGCTTCTGATGTTAGGGCAATGCAAGGTATAACAGCTCTCCCATGCAATTACGTGAAAATAATGCATGATGTCTGTAGCCATGAAAGTTAAAAATGGGAGATTAAACCACAGCAGTTCCATAGGTTTGTTTGCACTTCAGTCAAAGAGCAAGTGCTCTTTCGCAAAGTCTCTAGGCTTTTTTCTGGTGAAGCTAGTAGACCACCAGGGTAGTCACACACCTAACCAGTGAGAAGTTGCTTGTGATTTTCTGTTTGTGTGTGGGTTTCTTTTGCGTTGCTTTGTGTTGCTTTAACCCCCTAATAAATGCCAAGTTATACTGGATTTGGAAAATACACTTTATGAAATATGTGATTGTTATTTTTCTAGTGTAATATAGTTAATTTTGCAGCTTTTAATAATCTGTATAAGCAATTACATTCAGCAAAAAGTGAAAATAACTGATTCATGCAGTTCTGTGCCAAGGCATACATGTGGGCAATGTACTATCTGTTTGAAATGTCACATTCAGCTAAATGACACATACTGTCCTGGCAATGCTTTGCCTTGCTTCTCTTAAGAAGCAAGGAGATGGGATCTAGTTTTTCATTTGCAGTACCATTTGTTAAGAGAAATGGGCTTTTAAATGCCAGTGTTAGTGTTCCTCCATTTCTTTCTCCAGAATATTCATACAAAACCAGGAAGCTTGTTTTCAAGTAATTTGGTTTTTTACTTCATCCCTCTCAACTCATGGAAAGTGACATTTTAAAGCTGGTTATGTCAGTGCAAATACTTTGTTTCAGTTTAGCTTGAACCTGCTAACAACTAAACTATTTTGTTTGGTTGGGTTTTTTTTAAAGAAATGGATCTCACAGATGAGGATTATAGCTTCTTAAATATCACTTTGTATCTCTAGTTCTTCTGTATACTTTGTGTTTTGGCTCAGCAGTTGCATGTGTCTCTGAAAAATGTAAGGAGTAATCATTAGGAACAGTATCTAGAAAATTTGTTCTCTTCCTCCCACTCGGTGTTATCCTGGTGTCTGACAGCTGTGTTCCTGCAGTTACTCATTCAACCCGAAAAGGTGAAATGCAGAATTGCTTTGGAGATGGAAGTGAGAGAAAAGCCTCACAGGAGGCTTCTCTGAAATGGCTGGGATGCTTCTTGCTTTTCACATGCATAGTTTAGGTT